GATAGATAGATAGATAGATAGATAGATATAAATAAATTCATTGGCTCCTAGATAAAAGTAATACTCCCTCTCCCTGCTCCCTACTTGTGAAAACCAGAAATATCTTCCTACATTGCTTAATATGTCTCCTAGTGTGAAACGGTGAATCAAAATCACCTTTGGTTTGAAACCACTCACTTAAGTAATTTTTGTTTTGGTTTTGGGTTTTGTTTTTTTTTGTGTTTAGTTTTCTTTTTGTTTGTTTTTGTTTTTTGGTTTGGTTCCCCCCCCACCCCCCAATGCAAACATGTATGTTGAATCAGATCCGAATGGCACAGGAGGAGATTGCCCCTCCTTCTTCAGCGGAGCATCTGGATTCGAACCATGCACCTTCAGGATTGCAATGCAGCTTCTTTGTACTAGACCACCAGAGCTCCCTTAAGTCATTTTTAAAGTATTAGAAAATATGACTTTATAACAGGACAAAACCAATCATATTTAACTTTTCTCAAAGAAAATCCAGTCATCCGGGGACCAAGCCTATCTTTTTTCTCCCCTTTTCACACCTCTGTTGAACATCGAGTTGCAGCGTGATTTGTGAGCTGTCATTGAAATTAAACCCTCTAGTCATATGGCAATGAAAGTGAAGAGAGTGAAACCTACACAGAATCTGAGTAAGATGTTTTGTTTTTTAATCTCTCTTTCCAGGTTTGATTTCATTCTTGATAATGTTGGTGGATCCACTGAAACATGGGCTCTAAATTTTCTCAAGAAATGGTCTGGAGCCACATATGTGACCCTGGTGACTCCTTTCCTGTTGAACTTGGATCAGTTGGGCATTGCAGATGGTATGTTGCAGACAGGAGTCACTGTGGGCTCCAAGACATTAAAGGTAAGGAGGAGAGTCTTGGCCAGGGAGCAAGGAGATGCCTCATACTTCTGGAAGTTGATTTGCCAGCTGAATAGTTTCTCTTCTCAGGGAAGTAGCGTCGCCAGTGTCTGCAAGCATGGACTCTGGAGTCATACTGACTGGGCTCAGATTTTGACCTTCATTTAGTAGCTATAGGAACCTGTTTAAATAACTTAATGTCTCTAAGCCCTGCTGTCCTCACCTAATGCCCTAGGCTGGGTTCTCTAGAGAGGCAAACCCAGGGAAAAAGAAAATATATACATATATGCCTAAAGGAAACTGTACTAGATAGATAGATGATAGATAGATAGATAGATAGATAGATAGATAGATAGATAGATAGATAGATAGATAGATAGTTAGTAGATAGAGTAAGGGTACAATTTTCTTTCTCTTCCCTCCGCCGCCCTAGAATTTTGGGAGAGAGAGATAGGAAATTATAAAGTTAAGCACACACTCTGTCTCTCTCTCTCAAGATAGATAAAGTGTGTATGTAAGAGTGCAATATCCTTCAGGCGTATTAATGTATATGTAGGGAAAAAGAGAAATACAGGAATTTGTACCCTTACACACAGAGATGCACACACCTATATGAAGAAAGAGAAGTACGTGTGAGTTATGTGTATTTCAAGTAAATGGCTAACACAATTGTGGAAGCTCACAGTTTCCAAATTCATGGGTCAGATACGAGAACTGACAGACCCCAACTGAGCAGATCGGAAAGCAGTCTCCTGGCTCTTGGTGTTGTGGGAAGTGGTGATTCCCCACATCTGCAAGCTAGATGGCAGACTGCTAGCTCACCTCCCAAATACCAGAAATCAGAGGACAAGTAACAGGAGAGTCTTGGCTGGGGAACAGGCTGATATCTCATGCTTCTGGAAATTGATTTGCCATCTAGATAGTTTCTCTTCGCATGGAACTAGCATAGCCAGTGTCTGCAGACATGGAATCTGGTGGCATATTGGCAGGGCTCAGATTTTATTTTCTTTTAGTAGCCGGAGGAATGTGTGCAAGTCAGTCAGATGCAGAACTGCAGTTCATGTGTATATACCAGTACAGCCACATCCCAAGAAAGCTTTTCTTTCAAATGATTGGCTGGCTGCTCCCATCACAGGTCATAAACTAGAGGATGATTATGTAATACCTGCTGAACCACTGATAATCACGGCCTTATGAAGTTTACATATAACATTAACCATCACACCTGTAAAAACAGAGAAACGATATGTTTACTTACTGCATTGCTGTAAGGACTAAATAAGATATAATCCATGTGAAGAACTTGATACAATGCTTAGTACCTAAAAAGTCTTAGTAAATGCTAGCTTATTATTAGCCGTCATAACTTGCTTTGATCCTATATAAGACACTTACTACCTGCTTCTTACCTGTACTCTCTAGCCCTTTATTGATTTCACCATATGTAGGTCTCTTATGTACAAAGGAGGAAACTTTAAGACTTAGTATGGTTAGCATCTTTCTTGATGGTAGAATTGAGATAAGCCAGTGATTCTCAGACAGATTTCAGATTTCTAGAGGTCTGTGGGAATTTTTTGCATTTCAAAAGCCTGAAGGAAATTGTGCCCTTATTTCTGAGTCCCCAAAGCTAATAGAACCATCTTTCCTCTGCTAGAATTTTATCAACTTGTCCTAACCCTGCGTCCCTTATGAATCAGAAATTCTGAATACTGACGGCATTATGGAATTTTGTAAGTCTTCATTGGTCAGCCTGACTCTGTTGCCACAGTTACCTAGGCTGCATGGAGCCATCCCATCTAACTGAACATAATCAGTATTGGTGGGCTTTGGAGATTAATGCAAGCCAGACTTAGTTACAAAAGCTGATAGCAGAGTCCGTGTTTACTGCTCAATGTGATAGCCTCTTATCAGTTGCAACAGAGATTTATATAATTTCATGTTACCAGCTGTTGGTATTTCTGGATCACTGTTTTACAATCAGAACTAGAATTGAAATGGAACAAGTTATAAAACAAAATAATTGCATTAAATTCTCTTCTCTTAGTTAGACAAAATATTTCAGGTTCAGGTGAAAAGGCAGTTTAAGTTCCTCAGGGTTAAAAGGTCGTGAGTCACTCTTTTGGTCCATTCGACACTGGCACACGTCTTCCAGTGGCTGGCATGGAAAATATATTCAGGTTCTGTTTTCTTTTTGAGATTGATTTGGGTCTTTGGAGGTGAAATTTAGGACGTTAGTCTCTTGAACACTTAGCACTCACTAAATGACTTGCAGGTAGTAAAGGAGAGCTGTGGCAGATTAGACCACAATTCAATTTGTATAAACCCTGTAGAGTTAATAGAGATGCACAGACCACCACTAGAGTTTAGTAATCTTTATTTTCATGTCGTTCAGATGGCAACCCAAAGCAGTGGCCTCAGGAGGCTTTGCGGTAAAGGGAGCCTTAGCTGTCCTTTGTCTCTTCCTTCTCTTTTCATGAATCCCGCCTTTCCCAGGGCTGGAAAATAGAAGTGTACATTTTCTATAGGATTTCTCTGTCTGTACTCCAGGGAACCCTCTTAGCAGTTAACCTTCAGGCTTGTCCTCTGAGAGCCTGGCAGGCCCCGCTCACAGCTCTCTTCTCACAGCTCTCTTCGAGCTCCCTTTTTCCCCCAACTTGAAAGATGATAGTGGTAATCTCCTGTGAAAACCTTTTAAGTAGTTTCTGATGTCTTTGTGAGAATGTGCCCAGTTAAAGCCTCATTGTAAAGCTCCAGACTCTCCTGCCTGCTTCAGTTTACTTTCTCTCTCATAATGGCCTGGGGGGAGAAAACCCAACACACTGACCCCTCAAAGCAGAATAAAAACTCTGCTGTTGCAGACCCAGAGTTTCACTTTACAGGGCAGCACACTGTAAAGAATTCTAGACATGGCAGTTGTGACTGTTTCTGTTCCCCCCTAGTATTCTAAACAGTTGCCGAAATGCTGTGGTCTGTGAAGCCAGGCCTCAGGGAAACATCCGTAGACATGCCTTCCATCGGCTAGGGCCCACTCTAAGCTTGGAACATCACTAGGACTTTTGGCATCTAGCTAGCTACATTCAAACACTATTTACTATCTTTCTTTTTAAAGTTATCTAAATCAAACTCTCTCATGCCAAAACATGCATATAAAATGATAATATTTCAGTAGTATGTTGAGACTTCTCTGGGCCAAGAAGAACAACGTGCCTGGGGCCTTCTGCCAGCCCTGCTCTGCCTTGCTGGCTGAGGTGGTCAATGTCGTGCCACACCTATTCAGGAGTGAGCGGAGATCTGTTTGTATCTGTCCTGGGGTAACTATTAATGATGACTTCTTTGTGGCACACCGGTTTGGAAGCTCTGGCCTAGACAACAGCTAATTTTTAATTTTTTTATTTTTAAATCCTAGTTTGGTACTACCTGAGTGTATCCTTCAGGCATTTTAGTTTCCACACTAGATAAATATTTACTTTCTATATGCCAAGCCTCCTGGTCCAAGTGTAGGTTTCACATAAGCACAATCAGGAGTTCTGGGATTCCCATTCTTCTGGAGAGGGTGAAACCAACTTGCTCTCTGGAGGCGAGGATTTTGAAGCTCCATCTCACATACTTTTGGGGGGTATGTTGTCCAGAGGAACCAGTCCTTGAAGAAGAACATTATGCTTGGAAGGGTGACAACACAGGAGAGGAAGACCCTAGATGAGATAGATTGACACGATGACTGGGGTATCAGAGACAGATTGGCTGAGAATAGGACATACTTCAGCGCTTTTGTAGATAGGGTCACTCTGAGTGGTGGGTGACTCGATGACACATAACAAAAACAGCAACCTATGCCAAGCATCATACATACATTTCCATTTATTTAATCCTTTTAACAAGTCTGCGAATTAGGTAGTGGTGTCATCATTGATGCAGTGACTACATCAATGGGCTTGGGCATGGCAGAGATTGTGAGTATGGTGTAGTATAGAACAAGGTTCCAATCTGTTATTCATAGGGTTGCTATGAGGTGTAGTGGAGTCAACAACACCTAACAACAAAATTCTATAAGAAGTGAGTTAAAAGAGGTAGCTTTCCCACATAACCCAACTAGAAAGTGCTGAGCTAGAGTAGTAGGTGGCTTTCATTGCATTTGCAAGCCTCATCCTAGGGAGGTAGAATTGTATCATGGCTGGAGGGTGTAAGACAGAAAGCGATCTCACCTAGCCATCCCCATGAGCAGGGCTGGAACACCTGGTCGAATGGTCCTGGTTATCTCCTACAGAGAGCTACTCTGGATAGCACTCACTTGACAGAGTTTGGTTGGATGAATCATTGAGATGATCTAGGGACAATAAGGGCAAAAAGCTCGTTCTGATCACTTGCTTTACATATGAGAGCTGGACAGTAAATAAGATTGACAGAAGAAGAATTGATGCCTTTAAGTTGTGGTGCTGGAGAAGAGTATTGACTATCCCACGGACTGCCAAAAGAACAAACAAATGTGTCTTGGAGAAGTGAAGCCAGGGTGTCCTTTGAAGCAAAGATAATAAAAGCTTTGCCTCACATACTTCAGGCATGAAGCAAGGAGAAGCTAATCCTTGGAGAGGTGCATCATGCTTGGAAAGGTGGAGGGTTAGGAAAGAGAGGAAGACCCTCAACCAAGTGAATTGACACAGTGACTACTGCAATGGGCTCTAGGGTGTCAGGTAGTGTGAGGAAGGCACAGGATAGGGTAGGGTTGGGTAGGATAGGATAGCATAGCATAGCATAGCATAGCATAGCATAGCATAGCATAGCATAGCATAGCATAGCATAGGACAGACAGGACAGGATAGGATAGGATAGGATTCAGATCTGTTGTCCATAGGGTCTCTATGGGTGGTGCTCGATTTGATGACACCTAACAACAACAACAAAACGAGACAATAAGACATTAAAATGGCCACTGGGGCAATATCAGTTGGGCAGGTCATTGATCTCACCCCAAAATTTGGTTGAGCAAGTCATGGAGAACCTTCACTCACTTGTTTCAATAATGATCTGCTTACCTTCAACATCACTCATTTTCACTCACTGTGGTAAAGTCAGAATTGACTCAGCTGACTCTCCAGTGAATTTTCAAAGACTATAAATTGTACAGGAAGCAGCTGGTGACTATTGGATTTGTAGCACAACTGAGTATGGCAGTAGAATGGAAGCAGTGGTAGTTCAGTGTTTGAATTCTCTCACCTTTTATAATGGGAGACCTAGTTCACTTTCACTCAGTGCACGTCATCTGTCAGCAGTTTATTACATATTGCTGGGATCCTGAACAGGTTTTATGGAGCTTTCAGCCTAAGATAGACTATGAAGAAAGGCAAGGTGATATGTTTCTGACAATCAGCCCGTGAGAAATCCTAGCATAGAATAATAATAATAGAATAGAATTTAATCGATTCGCCGCTGATCAGGGGATGGTACAAAACCAAACAGTGCTTTGCTCCTCAGAACACAGGGTCACCATGAGTTAGGGGCCACCTCCATGCACAGGGCAAACACTGTAGAAAAGAGGTCTATGCTCACCTTGCTGTTACCATGGGTGGGGTTGAAACAACAACAATAATAGTAGCGTTTCTTAACCATTTTGGTGTAAGATTTATGTTCATCTTTGGGGAGTTAACCCCCCCCCATAATAAATTGAATGCCTTGAAACTTGCCAAAGCTGATATGAGAAAGACTCAGCCATGGCTTATATGGTATTTTCTACTTTTGGCTTTTCTTTGAAAGTTGTCTTACTTCTTTTTTCAAGACAAGGGGGAAAAAAAGATGATTTGTTTCGTGTCTCAGAATATCACATTTTACTGTCTTATTGTTCCCAGGGCATTCTTAATTCCTGTGGCATTGGACCTTGCTTAAATCTTTGTACAGAAAGGCTGGTAGATGTTGCTGTTGTTAGGTATCATCAAGTCGAGTACAGCTCAAAGCGACCCTATGAAGAACAGATATGAACCTTGTATTATCCTGTGCTATCCTCACACTTCCCGATACACAAGAGCCCATTGTGGCAGTCACTGTGTCAATCTACCAGGTTGAAGATCTTCCTCTCCTTCACCAACCTTCTACCTTCCCAAGCATTGTATCCCTCTCCAAGGAATAGCCTCTCCTAGCAACATGCCTGAAGTATGTCAGGCAAAGCTTTATCATCCTTGCCTCCAAAGAGAACTCTGGCTGCACCTTCTCCAAGACATATTTGTTTATTCTTTTGGCAGTCTATGGCATGATCAGCGCTCTTCTCCAACATCACAACTCAGTGGCATCAATCACTTCTTATGTCATCCCTATTCGTTGTCCAGCTCTCAGATGCATAGCAAGTGATCAGAAAGACCATGTCGTGAATCAGGTGCACCTTAGTCCTCAAACTGACATTATTACTCCTCAATAATTTGGAGAGGTCCCTCACTGCAGACTTTCCCCGTGCATCGTCTCCTGATTTCCTGACTGCTGATACCAAATGTGTTTATTGTTGATCCAAGTAAGATGAAGTTTTTTGACAGTTTCAATCTTTTCTCCCTCTGTCATGATGTTGCCAATCAGTCCAGTGGTAAGAATCTTTGTCTTCTTGACATTGAGATGCAATATTGAAGGTTGTATTTCTTAATCTTCCCCAAGAAGTGATTCAAGTCCTCCTCACTTTTAGCAAGCAAGGTTGTGTCATTAGCATAATGTAGGTTTTTGATGAGTCTCCCTCTGATCCTGATGCCACACTCTTGATAGAGTCCAGATTCTTGAACAATTTGCTCAGCATACAGAGTGAAAGGTATGCAGGGAGAATACAACCCTCACACATTTACTCCCTTCGTAATTTTAAACCATGTGGTATTCCCTTGCTCGGTTCATACAGTAGCCTTCTGGTCTAGGTATAATTTCACATAATCACACTTAAGTGCTCTGAGATTCTCATTCTTCTCAATGTTAGCTATAACTTGTTATGATCCACTCAGTCAATTGCCTTTGAATAGTTAATAAAGCATAAATAGGCATTCTTCTGGTATTCTTTATTTTCAGCCAGGATCTATCTGACATCAGCAATAAGATCCCTACCCTAGTGCCATGGCCTCTATTAAATCTTGCTTGAACTCTAGAAGTTCCCTATCTATGTACTGTTCTAGCCAATTTTGAATGATTTTCAGCAGTATTTTGCTTGATATTAATTTATTTTGTGATATTAATGATATTGTTTGATAGTTTCCACACTCTATTGAATCACCCTTCTTGGAAATGAATGGGAACAAATAGGGAGCTCTTCCAGTCTGTTGACCAGACAGCTGTCCTCCAAATTTCCTGGCTTAGACTGGTGAGTGCATTCAGTTAGCATCTGCTAATTGAAAGAAGTCAGTTGGTATCCCATCGATTCCTGGGGCCTTATCTTTTGCCAGTGCTTTCAGCGCAGCCTCCACCTCCTCCTTCATTACCATTAGCTCCTGCTCATATGGTCCTTCCTGAAATTTTTCGGTGTCAGTCAGTTCTTTTTGGTACAGTGACTCTGTGTATTCTCTTCATCTTCTTTTGATGCTTTCTGGGTCATTCAATATATTGCACATAGCATCTTTCAATATTGTAACTCTAGGCTTAAATTTGTTTTTTCAGTTCTCTCAGCTTGAGAAATGCAGAATGAGTTCTTCCCTTTTTATTTTCCAATTCCAGCTCTCTGTATGTTCCATTATAATACTTTGCTTTGTCTTCTTGAACTGCCCTTTGAAATGTTCTGTTCAGCTCTTTTACTTTAGCATGTTTTCCCTTTGTTTTGGTTTCTTAAAGCTCTAGTGCAGTTTTTAGATTTTCTCAGACATCCATTTTGGTTTTTTTCTTGCCCTTCTGTCTTCGCTGACCTTGATATCCCACAACTCATCTAATGTTTGATTATTGATGTTCAGTGCTTCAAATTTATTCTTAAGATGATCTTGAAATTCAGGTGGAATAAATTCAAAATCATATTTTAGTTCTCAAGGACTTATTTTAATTTTCTTTTGCCTCAATTTGAACTTGCACATGAGTAATTGATGGTCTGAGCCACAGTCCAGCCCTGGCCTAGATTTGACTGCAGATATTGAGCTTTTCCAACCCAAAGATGTAGTCACTCTTATTCCAATGCAGCCCGTCAGGTGAGGTCTATGTGTGAAGTCTCCATTTGTGTCTTTTTAAAAAATTATTTTCAATGAATAAATCATTGAAAATACAAATTTCAATTATTCTACTTCCAGCCTCATTTCTATTACCAAGCCCATTTGTTCCAACTGCTATTCCTTCTTCACTGTTTCTCAATTTTGCATTCCAGTCACTAATTATCATCATTAATGCATCTTGATTACATGTTTAGTCAATTTTGGACTACAAGATTTGGTAAAAATTCTCAATTTCTCCCTCTTTGGCTCAAGATATAGGAGCATATCATTGAATGGTACTTGTATTTACAGGTCTCCCTTGTATGCACATGGATATTATCCTGTCAGTCATAGCATTGTATTTCAGGATAGAACTTGAAATTGACTTTTTTTTACTATGAATGTAACACCATTCTTCTCTTTGTCATTCCAAGCATGGTATACCATATGATTATCTGACTTAAAGGGGCCAAAGCTTGTCCATCCCATCTCACTAATTCCTAGAATGCTGATCAACGTTCACTCATTCCATTTCATTTGGTGAAATGCATGACCCAGTTGGTTTGCCCCAGAAGCCTTGTAGATTCACCCCTACTTGCCTCTAGAGAACTAAGTTCTCTGTATGTAAAGACTGTTTAGAATCTCATTATCAGGAAAGCTTTCCTATGCTTTCTTGGCTCATGAGTCACAGCTCAGTGAAGAGACCTGGGTTCACATAGATATGTCTTTGTCATCACTTGATGTTTATGAATCATTCCACATTGCTTATTGGTCATGTACTAAGGCATTGGGAATATGGTCCATTGTATCAGCATGAAATGGGAGATTGTCTGTTTTATCATCAGAAAATGGTTGGGGTTTTATTTTTCCTTTCTTGTATTTGACTTTTTCCCCCCTCCTTCATTTTAGCATTTCTGGCAAGGAGTCCATTATCGTTGGGCCTTTTTCATGGCCAGTGGTCCAAGTTTAGATGAAATTGCAGAACTTGTGGATGCAGGAAAGGTATGTGCAGCCCTTTGGATGGCTAGAAATGGATTAAAATTCCTTGCTGTGAAGCGGGAGCCTCATAGCTGACCCTCCAGTGTGTCTCCGAGGCTGTAACTCTTATGGGTTACCAGCTTTCCCTGGCAGAGCTGCTGGTAGATTTGAACCATGAGAGAATCTTGGCCTCTGAATTAACCAGAGCTCCCTTTTATTGCATTGCTAACACACCTTTTTAATCCTTGGCCTGTCCCCCAACCCTAGTCAATGGGAGCTCCCCAGAGGAAGGCTTGCCCACTCTTTGCCACCTTACATGGTCAAAGTGCTTTGAGATTCATCTCTAAGGTGATCATCAACATAGACCGCTACAAGTGAAAAAAGAATTTATACCACCTGGGCTTCCCCTAGTTTATAGATGAAGAAGCAGGCCCAGAGAGGTTAGGTGGTTTCCTCAGAAACACTTGGTTAGATGGTGGCAGCGAGGCTCAACAGTGGCTTCCTAATGTTTTGGGAATAGGCTTGCTAATGTTTTGGTAAAGGTCCTTAACAAATGGAAGGATGTACCACAAAAAGGATCTCTGTATATAAGACGAGAGTGCTGAAGAACATTTACAGAACGTTTCTAGAACACCTTTTGAGGTGAGGCGGTGGTGGAAGTAAGCAGGTTTCTAGATGCGTAAGGGGAGCAAACACTGTGGAATCTAAATTCTAACAGAGCTGGAACTGAAGTCAAGTCTCCAGGTTTCCAGAGTTCAGACTAGTGTAATAAAGTTGAGTAAGTAGTATGTCCGAGAGGGTCAGTGGTCAGGATTACTAGAGATTCGGGTAAAGGCAGCTGGTTGGTATTCTGTGGATACTCAGATCTATACTACAGTGGGCTGTGTGGGGAAAGGATAGTTGCTTACAACCTGGCCATCCCTCTCTGGACATCAGAGACTTTCAGGGCTGCTGGGGGTTGAACCACTCTAGCCTGTAGCCAAACTGTCCTGACATTCAGCCTCTAGAGGGATAAACTAGAAGGTATACACAGTCTCTCACTGTTATTTGTGATTTTATTCACAAAGTGTACAGAATTATGAGTCAGGGAATTGCATGTATCTTTGAGGATTGCTTGATGTCATCCCACCTGAGAGGTAAAGAGGCATGACCAAGTTTACAGAAGTGGTGTGGGTCTCAGACCTCCTGGCTCCTGGTCCTGTGCCCTTCCAACTCCACCATTCAGCTGCATTCCTAGTGCTTGAGATTGATTTAGGGACTTTGGCTTAGGTTGTCTCGTCCTTGTCTTTTGACAGTGGGCAGGGGAAGGAGTTGGAGCAGGGCTATTGCCCTGGTTGCATGATCCCTTCTGAACTGCTTGGAAAAAGTCCCTGACCCTTTCTACAAAGATGGCACTGAAAGTGAAGAAGGAGGCCCCTGCTTCTCTCAAAACTGAAGCCAAAGCAAAGGCATTAAAGGCCAAAAAGGCAGTCCTGAAGGGCATCCACAGCCAAAAAAAAAAAAAAGAAGATCCGCACATTACCCACCTTCCAGCGGCCCAAGACACTGAAACTCTGAAGGCAGCCCAAATAACCCTGGAAGAGCGCCCCCAGGAGAAACAAGCTTGACTACTATGCCATCATCAAATTTCCCCTGACCACTGAGTTAGCCATGAAGAGGATAGAAGATAACAGCACACTTGTGTTCATTGTGGATGTCAAGGCCAATAAGCACCAAATTAAACAAGCTGTAAAGAAGCTCTATGACATTGATGTGGCTAAGGTCAACACTTTGATCAGGCCTGATGGAGAGAAGAAGGCCTATGTTCGACTTGCTCCTGACTATGATGCTTTGGATGTTGCCAACAAAATTGGGATCATCTAAACTGAGTTCAGCTGGCTAATTATAAATACAAATTTTTCTCACCAAAAAAAAGAAAAGAGAGTCCCTGGAGATGGACTTTCTTCCACTGGCACCTGCCCCGCACTATTCCTCAGCTTTCTATTTGAGTTTCTGAAAAAGTTCTTTTTAGCAACAGAAGGTTTATTTTTGTACATCTAGTTTCTTTCCCCCCAATTATAGCCAAGTAACTCCATAATACAAGATAGTCTGTTACTGCTTCCCCAGTTGTTTGGGTCTGAGTTTACCTGCTTTTCTTCAGACTTCCTGTACTGGGTAGAAAAGGGCTGCGCTTTATTAAAACTTTAAACAGGTGCCTCCATGGGAGGTTCATGGCCCACTCCACAGGGAGGCTTACTTTACTTTGTAAGACGGAGGAACGAACTATCATCAAGTAATTTGTCCCATAGTTCTCCATAAATGCATCATGTGGCTGGAGCCCCATTATTTGAGAGGCCTGCTGAGTCTAGATGCTTACTGTTCTTTTGTGTTCAAAATACTGTGATTCTCTCTTCTACCTGGACATTACTATTTACCCAACAGAGAAGAAAGGTACCTTGTATATACGTTCCAATTAATTTTGACAGATAACTATATCAGAATGGTTAAATGAGAACACAATAGAAATAAAGATGCCCTGAAGTGTCCTTGAAGGAAGGTGAGTTATTCCCCTCTCTGCACCAGGACTATTTGAGCTCTCAAGTCACTTATGATGGTGAAGGACTCAGGCCAGTGAAAGCTGATATGTGAAACTGGACACCACAGTGAGGTCAGCTGGGTTATTGTCCACCACTGCTTCCTGGTAGAGAAGGTCACTTAGTCTTTGGTGAGAGGTCATTGCCTATTTACATTGGGAAATTGGAAACGATAACACAGAAAACCCTTTCTATATTGTGTGTTGGGCACAGATTGGTTAAGTTGGACAAGGACATTTAAATTCTTACAGGGTATGGTGTAAGTGCTTAGTGAATCTGATTATCAGGTCTCTGATGGAGAAGCTGGAGTTGTTGAGAATTTTGACATTGTCAAGCCCTGAACCAACAGTGCTAACTCTTTCGAGATGCCCTTTAAAGTTTTGAGTAGCTAATACATTCCATTTTTTAGTAGATAATACATTCATAAGGTTTGAAATCTCAAATATAAGAAAGATATATAGTGAAAGATATATAAGATGTATAGTGAAATCTTCCTGGTCCATTGCTGAGATTTTTCCTTGCCCTAGGAAACAATTGTTGCTAGTTTGTTGGCTATTCCAAAGATGTTCTCTGTATCAGTGTTTTTAGATGCTCTTGAGTCTGTTCTGATTCATAGTGGCCCTGCATACAACAGAACCAAGCACTGTCCATCCTGGTTTATTTTCACATGGGTTGCTGTGCTTGCCTTCCAACTGGCATCGTATTAAACTGTGTTCCACTGCTATTCATCAGCTTCTCCTTTTTCATGGTTGATCTTTATGCTACATACACTCAGGGATTTCTTTTACATATCATCACCCCTGGAACTGACAAGTTTTTCAATGGCCAGTCTTTTCAGATTTCCAGCTTCTCCTTCCTAGTCTGTCGTCATCATTGGATTGCTAACCAAATGGTTGGAAGTTTTAATTCCCCAGCTACTTCTTGTGAGAAAAATAGCCATGTTGCTTTTGTAAAGATTTGTCACCTGTAACCCTATGGTACAGTTTTACTCTGTCTAGTAGCATTGCTCTGACTCAGTAACAGCAGTGGGTTTTAATTAATTTGAATTTTAGATAGCCACGTGTTGCTAGAGGCTATCGTATTGCACAGAACAACTTTTGGGGGAAATATAATGAATTCTGATATAAGTGACTTCTCTTGAGATGGCCAGACCCTAATGTAACAGCCAGTTATATCCTAAAACTTTGTGCTCCTTGCTTGCAATTGGATTCCCCCAATAGAAAGGATGCAGTGATATGGGTAGAATCTTTAGGAACCATTAGAAGATTATTTGCCCTCATGTGGCTTTTATCTCATGAATTTTACAGTGTTGATGCTCCTGAAGTTTTCAGATTTTACTAAAGTTGTTTCTACAGGAAAACCTATACTGCCTTTCCCTTCTCTTCTGGATGGAAAAGATGACTTTTTATCAGAGAGACCTAGGGACAAGGCCTGGATGCTTTCCAAAATGATCATGTTTATTCCCTTGGAAGGCACCCTACCCTCCCAGGCCCATCTCTTACTATCCCACCACCTGTCTCATGAGAGAGGCAGTAGGTGCCACATCCTGGGACCTGGCTTTGTACATCCTTTGTTTAAGGAGATTAAGACACATTCAGCAGACGTCTTTCTTGCATGTGGATCTCAGATTGGAAAGAGGGCTGCTATGGCCATCTCCTTGTCAGTTATAAGCTCCACATCTGAGTAGTGGGAAGTGTGGGCTTGAACCCCACTTTATAGCAGGCTCCCCCTGCCAGGTGGACTATCGCAGTGTCATCACATAAGTGCCCCTTAACTGTGAGCGATCTCTCCCTCCCCTCTCTGCATTTTAACCCTCACCCCTTTGTCCTGCACAAACAGGCATTCTAGGCCCCGTGTGAGGCTCTACGGAGACACTGTCTCATCATCCAGTTAATCTCCATTTGCTGTCATCTAGTCAGCCAACTTTTTTCCCCATTGTCACTTACGGGAAGAGCTGAATGACTCATTCTGCCACCGTCAGCCCTCTAGGGTTATTCACCACAATAGGCTTGAGCAGCCAGATTAAAGTGTTCAGTAACCAGGTTGTCTGTGTCATCAGTTCAGGAGCTCGGTCTCTGTCAGAGAATTTGAGTGAACACAGTCAGATGAGCTTAGGTAGTTCATTCTGGAGTTGAGTGGCCAGATTTGGGGTTCCTTTGTGACCCTGGTAGCATCACTGCTGTGTTGCTTTATTACTAGTGTCAGATGCTCCACGACAAGTTGATGTTATTCTTTCTCCTCTGTTCTTGGCACATCTCACAGGTGCTCGTGTTTATGTACCAGTTCTGGAATAGAGCTCACTGGATAGCTGACTTAGACTTTGTGGAATGAGTGGGTTGGTGCCTAATACAGGTTAGGGACCCTACGAACAAGGCCAGAAGCTGTAGTGATTCTTAGTTCACAGTACATAAAAATCACCTGGGACGTTTATTTGAAATATATTGTCTCCTTCAACCCCAGGAGAGTCTGATTTAGCTGTTGTAGAGGGGAGCCCAGGACTATGCATTGAAGCAAGCTCTCAGGTGATTCCAGGAAATTAGCATCCAACAGGCAATGTTCTAGGGTTTTAAGGAGAGTCATGTGTTAAGAGAGAAAAAGTAGAAATCAGATTTCAGAAGGCACGCTGAGAAGACAAGTATTCTAATAAAATAGGCAAAGACTTGGAGTTAGAAATCAAAGGGAAGAACATGCTCAGCATTTCTCAAGCTGAAAGACCTGAAGACAAAATCCAGCCTCCAAATTACAGTACTGGAGGATTCTACAGGCAAAATAGTGAATGATGTAGGACGAAGAAGACGGGAGGAATACATAAAGTCACTGTATCAAAAAGGACTGGTCAACACCCTATCATTTCAGGAAGTAGCATGTGATCAAGAACCAGTATCACTGAAGGAGAAAGTCTAGGCTGCGCTGAAGGCGCTGGCAAAAAATCAAGCCCAAGGAATGAACGGAATACTAACTGACATGTTTCAACAAAACATCGCCCCCCTCCCCAAATTTGGAAGATAGCTGCTTGGCCAACCGACTGGAAGGGATCCAGATCTGTTCCCATTCCCAAAAGAGGTGATCCAATAGGAAATTATCAAGCTATCATTAATATAATATGTAAGCAAGTAAAACCTTGCTGAAGATTATTCAAAGACAACTGGAGCAGTACACTGACAGAGAACTGCCAGAAAAGTCAAGCTTTCTGGATTCAGAAGCGACCATGGAACAAGGGATATCATTGCTCAGGTAAGATGGATCTTGCCTGAAAGCAGGGAATTACTAGGAAGATTCTTGCTTGTATTTTGTTGACTATGCAAGGCATTTGAATTGGTGTATATAATATATTATAGATAAAGAATACTTTCCAGAACACTTAATTAACCATGCTCATGTGAAACCCATACAGACCAAGAAACAGTCATTCCAACAGGAAAAGGAGATACTGTACAGATTAAAATCAGGAAAGGTGTGCGTCAAGTTATAGCCTTTCTCCACACCTTTTAAATCTGTATGCTGAGCACATGATTTGAGAAGCTGGACTGTATGAAGAAGAATGTGGCATCAAAATTAGAGGAATACTCTTAGAAAAACTTATGTTAAGCCGGTGATCCAGCCTTGCTTGTAGATGACTTAAAGCAATACAGAAGATCAAAGACTGCACTCTTCAGTATGGATTACATCTCAACATCATTAAAATAGAAATCCTCACAACTGTGGATCAGCAGGCAGCATTATGATAGATGGAGAAAAGATTGAATTTGTCAAGGATTTCATTTTACTTGAATCCATAATCAACAGCCATTTCCATAAAATCAAAAGATGTGTTGCATGGAGCTTGTCTGCTGTCAAGCTCTTTAAAGTGCTAAAAGGCAGAGTCAGTTTGAAGACTCATGTGCACCTGACCCAAACCATGATATGTTCAACTGCTTCGTGTGCATGTGAAAGTGAATAATGATTAAGGGTGACTGAAGAATTGATGCCTTTGAACGGTGGTGTTGGAGCAGAGTCCTGAATATCACATTGACTGCCAAAAGGACAAACAAAAGGAATTCCAACTAAGGTGCTTCTTAGAGGCAAGGATGGTGGACCTCCATCTCCATACTTTGGGCATATTTTCACGAGGGCCCAGACTTTGGAGAAATAGAGAGTTAATGAAAGAAAGGAAGACCTTCAACAAGATGGATTGACACAGTGACTGTAACTCTGAGCTTGTGGACTGCAGAGCTAGTGCAGGTGCTGCAAGACAGGGCATAGGTTTTTATCATAGAGTTGCTATGAGTTAGTTTGATTCAGTGACACCTAACAACAACACGTTCTCAGAAGTTTCATATGAGACATCAGGATACAACTTTCAGTTCGTTCTAGCCCTTTCCAGTGAATGCAAGTAGGTCTTACCAAAATAGCAATTCAGAGAGAGGCTGTGATGTTGACGATTCTGAGGGCCTGCTCAGCTTCCTGACGGGAGCATGATTATTAATAGCTGTCTATTAGTCAGTGATTAATTAATGAATCCTTGTCTGCAGCAGAGAGTGGTGGCACAGGTACCAAGCCATCTGTCATCTTAGTGGCTAAGATGCTGCCCTTGGGGACCTCAGCTGACACAGATGGTTACAAGGAAGACAGGACATGATGTCGCCTGCAAGAAATCATGATAACCATTGACCACTTTCCCTTCCGTTTAAGATTATTGAGTTGGGTGAAAGCATCAGGTGCTATTTGAGGGACTCTATACAGTGTGAGAGCACTGACTTGAATCAGATGATTGAATCTTGCTTTAACTATTGGGTCATACTGGATAACTTTCTGTGCCTTCATTTCTTCATCTGTAAAATGGGAGTAAATAACAGTGCCTGGTGTGTAGTGAAGACAATATATTCTAGTTACTTTCATTATGAGTTCATTGTGATTTATGGGGACAAAAGCATGCTCTGCTCTCTGAGAAAGCCCTCTTGGTGCAAGCCCCTGAAATTCACACAAGAAATGCTGCACCAGATGCATTAGAACACCATCCCAAGAACAGAGTGTCATGTGTATTTACACTGTTTCTCTTATAAACCAAAGGATAGAACATATGAGCTGGTTTATGCCTTCAGACAGCTAAAGCTGTCAGCTGACAGTTGAGCTGAAATACCAATTGTGTAAGTATTGATTTTTTCTCTGAAGTTTTGAAAAAGGAGAGTTCAGCTGGATTTTTGCAGGAGGAAAGAGGCCACGAACCAGTGAGGCTGCTGGCGGACAAGCCAGCCCTACATGGTAGACCCTGTGGACAGAGAAGTGCCACATGGGGTTTCCATGGCTGTACTCTGTGGACCCTGACTGGCACACCTTTTTCCCGCAGAGCAGCAGGTTTAAAACACTCGCCTTTCGATGGCCAAGTGCTTAACAGCTGGGCCACAAGGGGTATTTTTGGTTCAATGAATGGTGTGGTAAAAAAGAAGTAGAAGCACTTGCTGTACCAGTTAGTTGTGAGCCTTTCCTGTTCAGTCTAACGAGCTGCTCTGTGGCTTAGCAAAGCTTTCCAGGGCAGCTCCAGCCTCGGACGAATTCTCCCAAAGCCCACAAAGCCCAGGTGGGATCTTCCTTCCCAACTCTCTTACTGGTTTTCACCCCAGTGATATTAAGTTCCTGCTTGTTTGATGCATGTTAAAGATGTACATGGTACATGAGTCAGGAGCCTACTCGAAGGCAGCTAACAATAATAACATGGTGCCCTGGGGGCTCCAAAACAGTACAGTTTTAACTCTTTTGGTTGATAGATATGCCAAACATTGAACAGCAATGTTACCTTTAGTTTGTGCACTGTCTGTGAGGGGACCACAGACTTACCTGCCTTAAAGACCTTGGGACACCCATTTGGTTTTTCCCATACAGGTAGGCTGGCTAAGAGATGAATTATTGTTGTTATCTGCCATTGAGGCAACTGCAACTCATAGCAACCCTATGGACAGATACTAGCTCCCCCTTGATGGAGCCCATTGTTTCAGTCTCTGTGACAGGCCACCTTGTTGAGGGTCTTCCTCTCGTTCTCTGACCCTCCACCTTTCCCAGCATGACATCCCTTTCCAAGGACTGGACCCTCCAGTCAACAGGCCCAAGTATGTGAGACAAAGTTTCCCTGTTCTTGCCTGTAAAGTGCACCCAGCTTGCAATTCCCCCAAGACTGATTTGTTTGTTCTTTTAGCAGTCCTTGAGATATTCAGTACTTTTTTCTAGCACCTCAATTCAAAGGCTTTGGGTCTTAGATTACAACGAAGAGATGCAATCAATTATAAATGCTGTAAATGGTGAGGGCCACATTGGTCACATAGTAGTTCAAAGGGAGAACATAGTGCAAGAGTTACAGGAATGAGAGACATATTGCAATACTGGGGGGATAAGGAGAGACAGTCTAAGATTGAGACATGAACTGAAAGTCTAGAACCTTTTTCTGAGATTTCTGGGTTGCAGAAAGGATGTTCAGAGAGAACAAGTCAATGTTGTGTGCCACTGAGTTGGAACTGACTCATGGCTGACCCTCTCCTGCAGGAGAAGACTGCTCATCTTTCTTTGAGCAACTGGTGGATTTGAACCAAGTGCCATATGTTTGGAAGCACAACCTCTCACCAGAGCTCCCTTGACAAGTTAATAGTTGTAATGAAGTAGAGAGCCCACAGGAGGGCTGAGATTGGGATGGTGGTGGTGTTTCAGAGCCACATCTAGTGACAGCTACTGAAAGGTAGCAAAAAAAGTATGACGGAGCCATGGCAGAGTTGGGATGCATTATCAAAAGGAGAAAAGAAAAGTTAGAAAGGGGAAAGAAGGGGGAATTTCAGAGGAGATAAGTGTGGGTGTGAACTTTTGACCTAGCTGCCCTGGAAACCAACCCAAAAATCCAGCCTTAAGAAACATCTGGGAAAAGGAATTCAGAAGTTATTTGCCTTAAAGTATGAATCCTTTCTTATCCAACAGTCAAACTCTCTTGTGTTTTTCAGATTCAGCCAGTTATTGAGCAAACTTTTCCTTTTTCTAAAGTTCCAGAAGCCTTCCTGAAGGTTGAAGGAGGACATGCACGGGGAAAGACTGTAATTGATGTAGTTTAAATAAATATTAAGTTTCCTGATTGTTGGTTCTCTAATTTGGATGTCTGCTGTTGACCCAAACTTTTTTCTAACCATCTCTTTTCAACACTTTTTCGAGATTAGACTATAAATTCTATAAGTTTAGGGGTTGTTGTTGTTTTAAACCTTTTTTCACTTTAATTTTCTCGTCTAAACTGATCACAGAGATGGGTCCTGGAGCCACACCTCACTGTCTACTCACCACCCTTTCCTGCCAGAAGTGCTTTTTTTGGTGCAGCTTCTGCCCTGGCCGCACCCATGTGCTCTCCCATGTGGAGCAGCTCCATGTGCCAAGCATGTAAGACAAGGTACCAGCACTCTACCATTGTATATAAGTTAGTTACATACTAGTTTTTTCACATGCTGTTTTTTCATATCGACTTGGCAATTTGTTGTGGCACCTTCTCTTTTAATAGCTCAACTTCCACTTTATTTAATATTTTTAATCCTAAACATTAGAAGCACTAATCCACAGCATGAACAGTCTTCCAAGCATCCTGAAAAACAACCAGGAGAGGATAAAAATAGATGAATGGGACCTTCTAAAAATCAAACCCCTATGCACATCCAAAATCTTCTCCACAGGGTAAAAAGGGAAGCCACAGACTGGGAAAAAATATTTGGTAATGACATGTCTGATAAGGGACTTACATCTAGAATTTATAGAATACTAGAGCACCACAAGACAAACAACCCAAATGAAAAATGGGCACAGGATATGAACAGACACTTCACCAAAGAAGACATTCAGATGGCAAACCAACACGTGAAGAAATGTTCAAAATCCCTAGTTCTAAGAGAGATGCAAATCAAAACAACTATGAGATATCTCACCCCAGTAAGACTAGCAAAATTCAACAGAGCAGCAAACAGCAATGCTGGTGACGCTGTGGAAACAAATGAACTGGAACCCTTATTCTCTATTGGTGAGTGTGTAAAATGGTGCAACCACTATGGTAGGTAGTATGACGCTTTCTCAAAAAGTTGGAAATAGAAATACAATTTGACCCAGCAATTCCACTACTGGGAATATACCCTAAAAAACCCAGAATTGCCACTCAAACAGATATATGGGCACCCATGTTTATTACTGCTTTGTTGACAGTAGCAAAGAATTGGAAACAATCCAAGTGCCCATCAACAAATGAATGGATACAGAAGCTGTGGTATATTCACACAATGGAATATTATGCAGCACTGAAGAACTCATGAAGTGGGTGACCTTGGATGACATTATGCTGAGTGAAATAGCTCAGTCACAAAAAGACAAATATTGCATAATGCACTGTTATAAAACAGGACTGACATTGGGGCTAGGGGAAACTAAGAAAAAAGGGGATAAATAATGTACATGACATTAAAACAGATGAGGGACAGAACTGTATAAAAGGAATATATGATTAGGTATTATGGGCATGACAAAAGTCCAGAATAAGACCTGCGTAGTAAAGGGGGGGAGGGGAACTGTTTAATAATGAAAAGAACTTTTTTCCCCAAAGGAAAAAGCAAACTGGGGCAGGCAGAGAGGAAAATGTGCAACAATGAAGGAATGGAAATCCAAGTTCTTGATAAGCTTTCATTAAAATCTCAAGAAAACAAACCAACAAACAAACAAAAAAAGATCATTGTGGAAAAAATTCTAATACCTTTTGAGAACAGATTCTTCCAATTTCCCTCACTCCCCCCCCCAATCAAACTGTACAACTCAGATTAATCCCCCCTCCCCCTGCACATCCTCATCCCTCAGCTTCCACCGTCCCCCACCCCCCCTTGGATCCTTATACTCATTCTACAATAATGGTTGTATACAATATTTGTCCTGTGGGACTGAGTTCACTCAGCATAATGCTCTCCAGTCCCTCCCAAGTTAGGTAATTTAAAAAATCATTGCTCCTGTGTGCTGCATAGTATTCCACTCTTTATTTAATCAATGTTTGTGAGATATTAAAACTTTAGCACATGGATAGATTGCAGCATATTGAAAGCTAGTTCCACCTTGCATTAATCCATTGGCACTCTCCTGGATTTCCTTTTCCTTTTGTTCCTCCTCTCTCACGTAGTGAGAATAGCCTTGAAATTTCTGATCCTCTTAATGTAGAATATTCTGCCAATGATTAAGTTGTTTACTCTTCTAAAACGGAAAGGTAAGCTAATGTTTTAAAAACTAACATTGCACATACAGGGTGGAGCCTTTCTCAAGTCAGAACCTGTGAAGAGATGTGTTGTGAAAATTCCCACCACTCCAGCAGACTCTAATGCAGTCACGTGTCTGACCTGTGATATCTCCATTTAGCATATCGTCAGTAAACAACGTGGTGATGTCACTGTCTTTCTGCTCTGTCCTTTCAGTCATTTAGAGGAAGTGCTCTAATAAGAACATCATTCTTATTACTGCACCTTAGAAACTAGCTCCTAGCTTTGAGGGAGGCCCAGTTACAGGAACTTGGCTCATTCCTGTCGCTCATTTGTTAGCACGGTGGACATGGTTGCTCTGAGAAATGTGGGGGGGGGGGGCCACAAACTGCTCTTGACCTCCTTCTGGAATAATTTCAGGTCTTTTCCCTTGAAGGACTGACTAGGCAATAGTCAAGGGTGGAAACCTGGAGGGAGGTTAGAAGGGCTGGGACTTCACTAACCCTCACTTCCACATTCAGGAAAGGGGAACATACCTTTCCATCTTGCAGTCTAAAAAGAGGTCATTTGGCCAAATGTTCCCTGCTGTTAAATCCAGCTCCTGTCACACCTGCCTAATCCAAATCCATCAGACATTTGTTTCTAATATGCCAGCCATCTCTGAAGTGTTATGTGAGAGCCAATGAATGGATTCTATCTGATTTTATCAATACAGTGAACCAGAAACAAGTTTATTCAAAGACATAATTCAACATAGGCTACTGTAGAAAGTCTTCCCCACCGTATTGTAATTATACACAGAAAGGACCTAAAAAATTAAAGCTCTACATCTAAGAATAAGACAGACTGCTGTTGTACATGTGCAAACGTTCTTTTAAAACTGATGAGAAACTATTCTGATGACAGTAATTGCTTGCCATAGATTCCAGAGGGAATCAGACTTAGAATTGGAAAGAACACTTGAACAGATGAGAGGAAAGGAGAGTCACTATACCCTTGACGAGAGCACCAGCGTTCAGTGACAAAGGCAACAAAATGCATACAAAACAGGGAGAAGATTATATTCAAGCAATGTTTGCCAGTTTTGTTCAAAACCAGAACACTTTCAACAGCACCAACTGGGTTAAAGTAGGGTCAGCGGTTAAACATTTTCCGTTTTCTTTCTTGAAATGTTCGCTGCACTGTAGCGTTTTCAAGGTTCTATGGTTTGACCAGGAAACATTCCTTAAGGTCTGCATTCCTTCACTTTCTGGAGGAATTGCTGGTGTTCTCTTGACATCTGTGCTAAGTTCTGTGACCCGAAGTGATGCTTCCTGAGGGGCTGCAGTTCCTCAGACTAAGGCTGTTCTGCCACCTGTCTCCACTAAGGCATGGCTGTGGCCTCCACAGGGAAGGCGGCCCCCCAGGAGACCTGTGCTGGTGAGCTTGGACAGGTGGGCAGAAAAGTAGGCTAAAACACCTGAGGTCGCCAAAGGATTGCATAGCATTGGGTGAGCCCTAGTTGGAGATGAGTAAGGATGGGCTAATAACTTAGGTCATAGTAATACTGTTCCAATAGCATGTGTAAGAAAGGCTTTAAATGCTCGTTTGTGACACTCTAGGGCAGCCCACAAGTAAATGAAAATAATCCAGATCCTGCTAATAAATGTTAATGGGCATGGACTTATCAATTTACTACTTCTTAGTATTAACTGAAAGAAAATAGCTTATACTTATTCAGCTCTTTAAAATAGGTCTGAATATCTAAGGCTTCCCCAACTTCACAGTAGATGAGGACTGTCAGAAAAGCAAAGGCCAAGGACTAAATGACAAGTCTAATGAAGTATTTCTTCCCAAATGCTAAACAGTCCTCAACTTCACAAATGTACACTTTCATCCTTCCCCTAAAGTGTAAGGGACTTGGAGGTCCACAAAGCTGGTAAATTCCTCCCTCATGTCACTGTCTTTGGAAAGAATTTAAAATGTACAGTCTTGAAGTTTTGATATGACATATTTTAAAGACACCTAAAAGTTGTTCATGAGACAACTTGTTGAAGTAGCTAGCTAGTGAAGGGAAATGAAGTGCAAGAAACGAGAGAAGGACAAATTGTTAGTTTCCAATTATTAGTCTTTTGAAAAGATGAGACACATCCCTGGCCGTGGCAGCTGTGAGTCAAGATTGCATGTAGAATTCCTGAAGACGGAGTAACTCCACCATTCCTCTGGGGTCTTCCATCAGCACTGCCCCCTTTTTAAATAAAATAAGGTATCTGGAAGGACTTCAGAAAGACTGGCCTTGCATTCTTTATTCAAGTTTACAGGACCATAACTTCCCACACTTGTGTTAACTTCTCTTTGCTGACAGTGTTGAGGATAATATGATTTTGATCATACTGTGCACCCCCTGAAAGAAAGAAAAGTTTTAATAAAGTAATGTATCAAGGAGTTTTAACAGACATATTTTATCACAACTGTGTTATAACCAGAATATCCAAGGTATAAAAATATTGCCTGGAAAACAAAGCAAGGAAGCTTTAAATAAATGCACCTATGAGATGGCAGGGTCATTCGGCTACAGGTTAATCTGCTAATGCCCCCTCAGACAAGCACTAGCATTTACACAGAATATCTTTCCTCACAGGGTTCCTTTATCTATTACATTCTTAAAAATTAGTCCATAGTCACTTTTAAAATGTCTGAAAGTGAGAGAACAGTGGGGGAAAATCTAGAGAATGGAAAAGTATCAAAGAGATTGTAAATTATATTTGGTGGTGAGAACATGGATTTGAGATACCAGAAAGGAAAAATTAGTAGATAGTGGTGTGAGGGAGCTCTGGTGGCAATCAAAGGAACACAGTTTGCTGCTCTATGTAGAAGAAGGATGGGAAATCTCCTGTGTAGTTTACTACCATTGAAAACCCACTAAAGGCCCAGGTATGAGTCAGTTCTGACTTGACAAAATGCAACAATTTCTGGTTTTTAGGAAGAATATTTTTTTTTTGCATGAACATCACTGGCAGGCTATTATTATTTCAGTCAAAAATGCTATAAAAGAATTCTGGTCAACGTGGGGAGAAGTGGAGATGGAGAACAGAATTTCAAATTTTCATGGAATCTAGACTTTCCAGAGCTACTGAAGCTGGATAAAGTATCAGAGTTATTGTCTTGAGATAATCTAGGCCACCAGAGCTCTTTTCATTTAAGGTTTCTTAACATATATTCTCTGAAGACTTCTTTAAATCAAACAATGTTCATTGCCCTCTAGTCGGTTGCAACTCGTGGCTTATGCTTTACTGGGTTTCTGAAGCTGTAAGTTACACGAGACGTAACTGCCTGGCTTTCACCCAACGGGCCGTGGTGGATTTGAACTGCCAGAGATGCGCAGTTTTTGGGTCAGCAGCACAGCTCCCCAAGCAATAGTTAGTAAAGACTCAACCTTGAGGATCGTGTTCTGCAGAACTATATATAACAGAGATCAGACCTGCAACAGCAACCCTCAGGGCTAGACAGCAAATGTAGGGGGCAGTCAGTTTACAGGTGGAGGAATAATTTGGACAAGTGTGAAGAGGATTGTACAACTTCAAGAATGCAATCAGTGTCACTGAATTGTACATGTAGAAATTAATGAATTGGTATTATGGTTTTGTGTATATTTTCAACAATAACAACAAAAACTTTAAACAAATAAGTAATGAAGAATGATTGTGTTAGCCCAAAGGGCTTGAAATGGACAGGGAAATACTGCCATGGTTGGACCTTCCAAGCTTTGGTGTGTAAAAACTGACAATAGTTAAGTTGCTGAGTTTCACTGTACTATAAAACTAGTTTGATCTCCATAAATTCCCTTTCACCAGAATGTCTGTAAAAACATTTTCCTCAGATTCTTACAGGCTCAAAATAAACTCACGGCTCTCTGTTCCATGGAGAAGTATCATTATTAAAGGAAAGGACTATCTGTTGTTGTTTTTTTTTCCTGTGTGAAATAAGTATCTTTTCATATATCTTACTTTTTTTTTTTAACTGAGGCTATATCCTCAAAGCCCCATTACAATAAAAATCTGTGCATCTAAGTGGAGGGTAAGTGTGGCTGATAGTGAAATATGGTTTGCCTCAGGCCAAGAAGAAATGCAGGCCCTCCTCTCAAACATTACTAAAAGCTCAGACCAAACCAAACCCCAGACTCACTACCATCAAGTCGATTCTGACTCAAGTCAGCCTTCAGCAGGCTTCCAAGGCCAGAAATTATAGGAGCAGACTGCCTCATTTTTCTTCCATAGAGTGGCTGGTGGATTTGAACCATAGTGAAAAGTCCAGCACTTAATTTTTGGGGTGCCCATAAAATATCAGGAATGTCTGAAAATCTATACAATAGATCTAGGCCACTGGCAAAAGGAAATCTTTCCTTGAAATAAATGGTTTTGCCAGCATTGATAATCTAGAGCCTCGATACAAGGGCAAAGACACCTATGTCTTTTATGTAGAAGTCTGCAGTGGGGGGAAAGGTTGTTACCACTAGAATTATCCCCTTCCCATACACATAAACAATACTTTGTTGGCATTTCAGAAAATACTACCTTACAGTCTCAATGCCTTGTCTTCACTCTTCTAGATTTAACTTAAAATTAGTTTTGTGAATGTTACATCATAAATCTAAATATAGTCATGGAGACTAGAATGTTCTCAGGAAATAATTTCATTCATCCCTCTGCCTTTTGGGAGAGCTGAAATCATCCTGGCCTTCTCATTTTTCCTTTTCTAATTGGCATGAATCACCCGCTACTGTTGTTGTAATGTATGTGGTTTGCTGAAGGAACACTAGATGACTGTCTACCAAAATAACTCATTGTCCAAACACTGGGAGATAGGGAGACACTTGTAATAAATTGCACTGAGGTTTTAATAGGTGATGAATGAGTGGTTCCACAGCTGTGTTTAAGGAAAATTGCAGTCTCTTTTGCCTGGTTTGTGGAATATGTGGCCCTATCCTGGCCTGTCCACAAGATGGCATCATTCTCCTACATTCTGAAACATTTAAATTCGTTTTAATAGGAAATTAGCAACTACCAAGGAAGGGGCTCTGATGATGCTATGGTTAAGCTCTGTCTGCTAACCAAAAGCTCAGTAATTGAAACCCCTCAAGCCCTCTGAGGAAGAGAGAAGAAGCAGCTTGCTCCTGTAAAGATCACAGGCTTGGAAGCTATGGTTCCACCCTGTCTGACAAGGACACTGTGAGCTGGAATAGGGACCTCTTGTGGCCTCGTAGGAAGGAGCCTTGTTGCAAACCTCAAACCACATAGTTCTAATCCACCAGCTGCTCTGCAGGAGAAAGACGGGCAATGAACTGAACAATTTCCTGCCTCTGAAAACTCGATGGCACATAACAAGAACATGAGTTGGAGTGGACTTGGCAATAGGTTAGTACTACTGCTGCTATCACCTTTACTCTTGCAACGACTTTATAATCCACTTTAGGAAAGAACTTTCTAATTTTCAAGTTAAGACTTCAGGAGGACTCCTCAAAAGTCTCATACACCGTTCATGTCAGAGCCAAGACTGAAAGCCAGATATCCTTATTCCTGGTCAACTGCTATTGCAGAAAATGTTGTTGTTTAGCACAGAGTCAAAACTGACTCACAGCTGACCCTTCAGCAAGTTTTCAGAGGCTGGAAATCACACGGGAGGAGACTGCCCATCTTTCTCCCACGGAGCAGCTGGTGGATTCGAACTGTGTGCCTTGGGGTTGCAGCAGCTCCTCACCAAATGGCTATTGCAGCAAAAGGGGGTGTGTGTGATCCTATATTCTTAAAATTTCTAGAATGTAAATTCTGTGAAGCTGGGTAATATCCATTTTGTTCACTTAGGCACCTCCAGTGTCTAACCCAGAGCTGACTACATAGCAAACTCCTTAAAAATCCCATTGCCATCAAGTGGGAGCTAGCTTAAAGAGACCTTCCATCAGGTTTCTGAGACTGATTTTTCATGGGAAGAGACTTTCTATCTTTTTTAAAATTTTATTCATTTTAATGAATATTTAAAGAGATTCTGGATTTTCATTCATTCATTATTGTACTTCTTTCTTTATCCCCCCTCTCCCCAGTTCGCTCCTCTCTTTGAAAAGCAAAAGATAAACTTCTTCATTGGTATACAATCCCCTCGCCCCCAACCCAAATGCATTCCACTATGCAACCTTAATTCTGGATTCCTGTGATAATCATAATATGCTATCATATATCACTTTTAAACTGTTTTTTCCCTCATCTGTTTCAATTCAGTATACATAATCTATCCAGTTTTTCTCAGTCTTACCCCAACCCTGATGTCAGTCACTTTCTACAACAGTGGCACCATGCAGTATTTGTCCTTTTGTGACTGTGATATTTTACTCAGCATAATGTGGAGAAACTGGAACCCTTATTCACTGTTGGGGGGAGTGTAAAATGGTGCAACCATTGTGGAAAGTGGTGTGGCGCTTTCTCAAAAAGTTGCAAATAGAGATACCATTTGACCCAGCAACTCCACTACTGGGAATATATCCCAAAGAGACCATAACTGATATCCAAGCAGATATATGCACACCTATGTTCGTTGCAGCTTTGTTCACAACAGCAAGGAGTTGGAAACAACCCAGGTGACCATCAACAAACGAATGGATAGAGAAGCTGTGGTATATTCACACTATGGAATACTATGCTGCATTGAAAAAAAAGGAATTCATGCAATATTCAAAATGGGTGACCCTGGAGACTTTCTGTCTTTTACGGGGAAGCTGGTGGCCTTTTGTTAGTGGAGTCAAACTGCTGACATTGTGGTTAGCAGCCTGAGGGAGTACACATTGCACCGTCAGGACCCGTGGCTACACAGTGCATCCCTAATACTTGTTGAGTGTGAAAGAAAAGACGCTCTCGCTCATAAGTCTTACAGTGACAAGACAGACACACGGAGATGCTAAGGCTGGTGCAGGGCCGGGCACGCTGGCTTTCTGTTGCACTGGTTTCTAGGATTTGCAGCGTACTCAATGGCACCTTAAAAACAACCATCTTGGACACAAGACACTGGTCCCCTTTTAAAGAATTGTGAATCCAAAGGTTAATTCAGTCTCCTCCTTTTGGTACCACATGTTGTTGCTATGTGCCATCAAGTCTCCTGCAACTCATAGCAACAGCTCTGCAGCCTACTTGTACTACATAGATAATATATTCTAACATTCTTTCAGTATGAACTCCATTTCCCTCATTTCTTTGGCTTCTCTAAAGTTAACTAAAACTTTTAGGTTCAACAAAATGAAAATTAAAATTAAAAAAGGTCTATGGGAGTCATCCTTGAGCTAACTTGAACCTCCAGTTGATTATCTCTAAAACAAGCGTACTCTTTGTCCCCGGGATAGTAAGTGAGCTCTGCTGCCGTAGCAGGAAGGAGCTACGCTGCCCACCCGGTACTGGACTCCCACTGTGCGCCCCTGCATCTGCCACCAGAGCCCCCTCACGCCACTGTCTACCAACTTTTCCTTCCTGGTACCTCTAATCCATGGTCTCACCACCAAATATAATTTACAATCTCTTTGTTCGAATCCACCAGCTGCTCCCAGGGAGTAGGAAGGGCAGTCTCCTCCCGTGTGATTTACTGCCTCTGAAAACCCACTAGAGGGTCTGCTATGAGTTGATTCCGACTCAGTTACACAACAGTATAACAGCAAAACTATTGCACCAAATGTACTATGAAAGGAGTATGCTTTGTTTTATTACCATTTGCTTTTGGAAAGCAGTATTTTCCTTTTTATAGAATGTGCTTATTTGCTTTTATAGAATGCATGATTCTTGGTCTCCATCCAGTGTTAGTTATATAGCTTAGTTTGTGCTCCCCAAATATAGTCCTCTGCTGTTGCCTCATTAAATTGAATCTGTTTGCCTCCCAGCACCTTTCCAGCTTCTCAAGCCTTTGTGAATTCTACTCCAATTGTTAAACAGATTGGCACCTCAGCCCTCTGGGAAACCATCCAGAGTGACTCAACCACTTCTGCTCCACATTCACTGGGATACCAACACCCCTGATGAAAAACACTCAGGCTCATTTATCAATTATTCAAAAGAGCTACTGGGAAACCTTATTGCAGATGTTTCTTCACTCTTAATTTTTGGTTAAACTCTGAATCTTAATTTTTGGTTAAAAATAGCACTGGCTTGGATCCAAAATTGAGCCAACTTCTCTCAAAAAACCCCTTCAAACTCACTGTCATCCAGTCAGTTCCAACTCAGAGCAACCCTCCATTGCTGTACATTACGGTGGGAGGAAATTGTCCATCTTTCTCCCACAGAGACACTGAAGGTGAGCAGCCTTTGAGTTAGTACAACTCCCTGTGGTCTGCACCACCATCAGTGGCTTAAAGAGAAGTATATGTCACTAAATCGCTAAAACAAAAGCATGCTGGCTTTCCTTACAGATAGTAAAAACGCCCCTGTTAATCATTTAAGGCAGAATGATCCCAGAAAGTATGGATAAAGCACTGTATCTTCACCTGCTTCCCACTGAGCTCCCATGTCTAGACTAGGTCAGACTTTCGTTTGTCGATGTTGTTCTAAAATTATCACCATTTCCAAGTGGGGTCCCCAGGTCAATGGCATCAGCATCATGAGCAAACTGAGAGGCATTCCTCTAAGCAAGGCCCTATCACCCTTGGCCTTCATAAGGTAGATGATCTGATGAATAATGAATCACGCAGGAGATCCTGGTGCAGGTAAAGTTGGAGGACATATGTGTTTTCCCCCAGGCCTCACTGGGCTTGCTCCAGATTAACTACTTTTTGATGGAACCCCAGTTCCATGGAAATCTTCCTGGCTATGTTTGTTTTAAGGAGTAACATGGTGAACAATAGCCTTTTAGACCTTTTAAATAAAAAGTTCATGCATATACTGAGAATCTTCAATTTATGGAGATCACAAGCTTATATCATTATAATAAAACTAGGTTTAAAGCAAGACTCCAGCTCAGCACTTAAGGGGTAAGTGATGAACCCCTCTGAGCCTCAGTTTCTTTGGCTAAAAATGGAGGAGAGGGATAGGTAGGTAATGCTTAGGTCCTAGGTTGCTAAGAAGACCAGATGGCATAATGTCTGGAAAGAGCTCAGCACAATGAGTGCTTGGTACCCAGTAAGGGCTCTAGTACTGTTATTAATACTAGCTAACAGCATGATTTTAATAGAATAAAGAAAGCCCATTACAATAGAAAAGATGCATGATCCTTACCTTTGATATCTAATACTAAATTTGGCTTCAGCTTGCTATAGATCCTGCCATCCGACTTCATGCTCCAGAACTGACTGTCAACATTCTGGTCAAGGGCCAGGCCCAACTTAGAGCCAGACGTGACCAGGCTGCCCACGATGGTCAGGCAGCAATCTTCTGCTATCTGTTCAGGAGGGGGAGGAAAAACCAACTGTATAAGTCTTAGAAGTGGAAACACATTTAAATACCATAGTCATTATTTCTCTGTTTAAGTTGACTTTTAAAATTATTCTTTGTTCTCAGCTTCATTTACTCCACATGAGACATTTCAGCTTTTGACCAAGATAGCTGGAATCAGACAACAAACACGTGTATTCTTTATTTCCAAAAATACGAGTGGAGAAAGCCATCTGTGTTTCACCCATCACAAGAAATATCTGCCCTTTGTGAGACTATCTTACCTGCATGGGAAGCCTTGGAACATGAAAACTGCCTATGACAGTATTTCTCCCTCAGAAGTGTCTGATCAGAGGCTTATGACGTAGCTGAATCCCCTCACAGATCCCTCTCTGCTCATCTTGAGCCCCCAACATTGGTCATGCCTCAATTGCTGAAGACTGCTGTACCATGACAGCACTTACAGTAATATTTTATTAATGCAAAACTTGGAAGTGCATTGGTTAACTTCTCTTGTCTTTCCTTCATGAGGAAAAGTCTTAAATTTTCTAAAAAGGCATCCTATGAAATTTTAAAAAGAAGAAGAAAACTCAAAATCTCTGAAGGGTAGTTTAATGCAAAGATTTTATGGGTCTCCCTCTGTAGTGAACCTGCCTTTACTATTTAAACAGTGTATGGTAGTCATATGTTCACATGACCAGGATACACTGCTATAGAAAATGCTTACTAAAAGCATACTACTCTTTTAAAAGAAAAAACTTAGATATCTAAGATGTTTTATACAAATATCTATAAACAGCTATACATCAGAGGTCAGGACAACGACTAGGAGGATAGAAGGAGAATTGATGCCTTTGAGCTGTGGTGTTGGAATATTGAATATACCATGGACTGCTAAGAAAAATAACAAGTTCATCCTAGAGAGGGTTAAACCAGGCTGCTCACTGGAGGCAAGGGTTCTGAAGCTTTGTCTGACATACTTCGGACCTGTTGCAAGGAGGGACCAGTTCTTGGAGAGCGACGTCATGCTTGGGAAGGTGGAGGGACAGTGCAGGACAGAAAGACCCTCTATGAGGTGGATTGATTCAGAGACTGGGAAAATGGGGGTGGGGGTGTCAGAGGCAGTGGGATTGGTACAGGATAAAGCAGGGTTTAGGGCTGTTGTACATAGGATCGCTATGAGTCACAGGCGACTCAATGGCACATAACAACAGCGAGATGTTTTGTATTTTTCTCATTGGTCTACTGAATTCAGAGTTGATAGAGGGCTGACATGTTTGTTAGAAATAGTTGGTGAAAGGAGGCACCTTTCTTTTTCAATTGTTAAAGATAATTCAAAGAGTTGGCGGCTTCTTTTTATGCTTCTATATTACAGCTACTACTGTTTCCCATGCTATGCATGTCAAAACAGCGCTTCTGTTTACTGAAAGGATGATCCTCCTTCAAGCACCAGAGATCCAATTAACAAGCTGTATTTGTTCCTTTTCATAAGATGCTTGCCTTCTGCTGAGTCATAGGGCATCAAGTTTTTATAAAAAAAAATTCTAGAGCAAATAATAAAGCTCATAAAATCAAAGAGTAAAAAAAGAATAGCTACAAGAGAAGCATATATCTTCTCTCATAAAATATGATTTCTGATCAAATATATTACTACATCAGCCTTTAAATGTATATGATAGCAGAAGTGACAGGAGAGGACGATGGAGCCATAAGCTTTGGTCAAGGTGTGACACTTATGAAATAGATTGTCTTGCTCCTATTCTGTGAGAGTCTCCAAAATGAAATAAACCAAGAGTGAATTTATTGACAATGCCAGGGTTTATAGTTTATATCTGTAACAAACTATTGATAAGCGGTGAGTAACCCAGACACTTCCTTTATCTATTACTATACAGGAATCAAGTACAGATGTAACTATCTTGGGTCACCACAACATTTATCTGCCATTTTAAAGATGCTAGACTGATTCTATCAGAGCTAGGAGATTTCTTCATGAAAGTATACTTCTGAAAGTGCTTCAGGAATTATGAAATCCCATCCAGTTGAAGAAAGATCAAAGGCATGTTAAAAGATGAGTTGCCTGCTAGCAAAGGGATTAAAGATCCCTATCTAATCCTAAAAAACTCACTCTGCATTTGATGCATCCTTCTTGATAAATCCATATCTGGTCATCAGCACCTACATCCTCCATGACTTGTATTCTAAGGAGCTTCAAATCCTCTAAGTTTCCATTGGTTGACATGAATAACCCAGTTGCTTTGTTTCGAAGTCTGAAGTAAATCCGTTTCTAGAAGATAAAAAAACCCTACAACAGTCACATTTAATTATAAGAGTCACTGAGCAAGCATCAATTTTAGGGGTAGAATCCAATATAGAATGGACTTTAAGGGATATTTACTAAACCTACAAGTTTCATAGGTTTCAGGATTTTCTCATTGAAAAGAATTTGACCAAATTTCAAAGAAGTGTCCTAAGCTGCCTGCCTAATCAGAGACAGCCCAGGGTTTGAGAACAAGCCATGTTTCCATGTCAAAAGTGTTAGCATTTCGAAACAGCCACTTAATACCATAAACCATGCAAATTTGGCCAGGGAGGGAATAAGATTTCAAATTTAAACTTGAAATGGAAAAGCTGAATTACATTTACAAAAAAAAAAAAAAGGAAAGGAAAACTTTATAGAGGAATCTTTTCTAATTATGAAGAAAAATACCTGAGCAAAAGGTCGGAGAGAACCTATTTGGCGACAGCCACTGAATTCATACCAATTGGGTATTTCTGCTGGTGACAGCAGGAACTGTCGACCCCTGTAGTTGCCATACTCATAAGTTACCCATCTGAAAGAAAAACATACATACCCACTGTAAGTGGCAATTTCCTTTGACAATGGACCTACTTTTGTTTGTTTTTAGAATGCTTCCAATTTCTAGACTGAACTTTAAACTTTAAAAATACATTAGTAAAAAAAGAATAAAACTACCTTATTTTCTAAATCACTTAAAGATCCATTACACAGGAAGATCATGGTACCTGAGTATTTATACCAAAAAGATTGGTGCTTAAAGAGAAATGGACAAGCCTGCTCATTAAACATCTTCAATTGTATTAAGAGATTCTTAAATTATTCAAATAATGTTTATAAAGTTGTTAGAGTGTGGCACATGGTGCTACAGAAGTGTTAGTTAACACAGGTGGAGAGAGAGAGAGACATGTTAATACATTTTTGTTAACCAGAGTAATCATCCAAGATACTTGAGTCTCTTCCATGAGATGTGCCTGGGGTTGCATGCCTGTGGAAGGAGGGTCAAGCACTGCCTAGCATGTGAGCAACCCAACAACCATTTCCTCAAGCTGCCAAAGTCCATCAAAGGTAATGTTCTCTACTTTTAATCCTCACTCAACTCAACAACCATTGCTGTCGAGTCAGAATCAACTCACAGCTGGGCTTCCAGAAGGAAGGTAGAAGCGGTAACTACCTGGGAGAAGACCATTCATTTTTCTCCTTAGAGCTTCTGGTGGTTTCGAACCACTGGAGAGGGGCTACCTCTGGGTTAGCTCTGCAGCTCCCTACAGACTACACCACCAGAACTCTCTCTTTTAATCCTGGAACCTAACATGTTACCAGGTTAGCTATTTTATCATAAAAACAAAATAACAAATAAAATATGGGTGATTTTGTTAACATAAAATCACCTGTAATTCTATCATTCTAATAGTGCATGTTTATTTTAAAATATTTATAGTTCCTTCCCACATTTGATGGAGACACATAGATGATGCTTATTGCTTTGTGGACGAAATAAAGAATTTTCTTAAAATCATGTTTATTGAATTAATATGGAGCCTTGGCTAATATGGAGCCAGTGGTTAAAGGCATGGCTGCTAAGTGAAAGGTTCGCAGCTCAACCCCAGCAGCTCTTCTGTGGCAGAAAGATGTAGCAGTGTGTAAAGATTAGAACCTTGGAATCCTGTGGAGCAGTTCTATTCTGTGAAGGGTCTTTATGAGTTGGAATTAGCAATAATGTTATTTTTAAAATTATGTTGCTAATCCTTATTTTTATATCTTGCTCAACTTAAGAAATTAACATTGACAAGATATCTGCCAAAATTAACTTATGATCATTTGCAGAGCATCTGCTGGCCACTAGTTATTGTTTGTTGGGTTGTTGTTTTTTTTGCCACTAGTTATTGTTAACTGCACTTGAGTTACCAGGGTGCACGGTGAGTCCATTACCCAAGGGAACCAAATGTTTGCCGGCTTAAATTGTTGTGGTCAATAGGGGCTTTTCACTGGCGGTTTTTCCCAAGTAGATAACAAGGCCTTCCTTCCTAGTCCATCTTATTAGCCTAGAAACTTCTGAAACTAGCTTCATATCATACCAATAAACAAGCCGTTACTGACAAATGGATGATGATCAGAATTGATCAGAAATGATGGTGACTGATCAGAAATTAAACCTGAACCACCAAGGCCTCTCTTAGTTACTTCAAGCTAAAGGAAAATCCAAACACTTAGATCTAAAGTCAAAGAACTTGGTCTTTCAAAGGGATAAGAAGAAAGCAATTTTTTTTTCTTACTTGGATAAAAAAAAGAGTATTTAATAAATTTGCGGAGCCCACAAGCATAAAGTGTTCCCCTAAGATCCATGAAGGCTATTAAAAACAAAGTCCTTATCTTAAAGAAACTAAGTGTGGGTGCTTTACAGGAGGATTTTCCCCAGGGGAAAATATGCTACAAAATTAAAAACTCTGATAGAAAAAAAAAAAAGAAAAGAAAAAGAAGGGATTGTATGTCAGTTGCTTTAAGGGAATACTTATAAAAAAGAAAAAAAATCTAAGTTCAACTTTTAAAATTACCTACTTTATTAAATAAATACATAGAACACTCACTTACATGCCACCAATAACCTGAACAGAGCGGATCTGCGTGTTGAATCCCAGGAACCGGAGATTAATTGTTTCTGCATTAAGTTCAATCTTTTTCCCTTTGAAGTCTTCTCTTTCAAAAAGAATAATTGTTGGCTCTGAAAACTCCTGTTTAGGAGCAAAAATATTACTTATTATTAATCTCTGGTAATAATCCAATACTATGTGAAAGTCATCTATCTTATTGCAAGTGCAAAGCAGATTGGCTCAGATTTGAGTTGGTCCTAAACTCTCTTTCCCAGAAAGTCTGGAGGTATAAAGAGGAAGGTCATAGAGGCAAGAAGGTTTTCCATTTCACAGAAGGGTAGTAGGTAGATGTAGCTAGTGTTGCCAAGGGAGGGGTGAGGGTGGTATACTAAGCATAGGGAATGGGTATATGCCTGAAGAATCAATTTTTCTAATTAAGTCATAGCCTTGATTTGATATAAGGTGAGTTCTCTTAAGCTGAGATCTGCATCACCTATTGCCTAATGAGGTAAAAGAGCAGAGAAGCTAACAGAGAGAAGGACCAGGGTATAAAGAAAGAAAAACAGAGAGTGCAGTGCATCCTTGGACCTCAGATTATTCTCTAGGAAACTTCTAGAACCAGGACATTTACAGAAAAAAAAAAGACTTCCTCGTACAGCCAACACCCTGAAGTTAGACTTAAAAATAAATTTCCATTTGCTAAAAATGAAAAAAAATGCATTTTTTAAAAAAAGAATACATTTTTGTAATGTAGTTTATACCTAATTATGTAATTTTCCATCAGAACAAGGAAGGACTGTGCAATCATGAGTATAAATAACAAGAATCAAGGGCCAAACACACTCAATTTCAAGTCATAAAAGCAAAAAAAGAATCAGGGGACCACAAAAGAATGATTTTGTGTGCTCATGCTCCCAGAGTGTCTTGTAGGAAGTATAAACAGGAGAGAAGAAAACTAAAAACAGGATGGAAGTCCTGCATTAGATTGTTGATATTTTAAAAGAAGAATAACAAGGAAGCCCACTGATTATCAGAAAAAAAAAATGAAAAGTTGTCTGCTTATGAATTTTTTTCTTTTCAAATTATAGACCCTAAGATCCTGGACTAAGCACTAATAATAAATTCCTAAGATCATAAATGATACATCAAAAAAGCACCTGGGGATTACAACTGTTTGCCCAACTGCTTAAAGTTTTGTGGCAAGGGTGTGTCCCCTTGCTGCTTCAGTTGTGTGGATGTGCCCTGACGTGCAGAAAAATGTTTTAGATCATAAACAAAGGAGATTAGTGGATAGGGGTGTTTGTATAGTCCGAGAAGTAGGTCATGTAAAATAGACAGAAGAGAAATTATGCATACAACAGGGAAAAAAACTGTAGTAGTAGTAGTATTTTATACCTTATGACATTTAAAAATATCCTAAACAGTCTATTTTTTCACTTAACATTTTCTGTAACTTGAATGGAAGTGTACAGAGTGAATGGTTTTCCATTCAACAATTTGTGCACACTACGTTTAGTGACACTGGCTGCAATCCTCACATCATAAAAACTACCCTCCCGACTTGCTCCCTATGTCTCCCAGCTCGACTCATCCTTATTCTCTATCTTTCCCTGTCTCCCAGATTTGACTGCTTTTGAGCAAATGCTGCCCCATTGATCTTATCTGGCTGATGGCTGTAAGGAGAGCATTCCTTCCTAGTGTTGCTGATCACCTTCTAGGCCTGTCTACTGTTTGTCTGAAAGTTGTCACAGGAGTAAATACAAGAGTAAACTCAAGCTTAATGTGAAAAAAAAATCTCTTAACAATTTCTAAGTATTAAATTACACTAAAGACATATTCTTAGTAACCAAACTTTAAGTACATCATCCATGAGATGTCAGAAGTGAGTTGAACAGGGAGGCCAAGTTCTGGTTGAAATCTGCATTTGAAATCTTCAAATATTTTGCAAATATTTGCCTTTTTTGCAGTTTTAGAATTCTAGTCAGGTTCAACAACAAAATTGGAGGACACTAATAAATCTTGGCACATAATTCCATAGTTCACTACTGTTTTCATATTTCAGTAAAGATCAACCCTTTATTGGAAAGATGGGACAACATAAAACCCACTTTACATGTTTTTCTACCTTTAAAACTAAAAAGTCAACTACAAATATGTAAATTTTTTTATGAAAGATCAACTACCAAAGCCTAGAAATTTCCAAAGGAATAGTTATAGCCAGGTTCAATATCTGAACACTATACTATAGTCGTGCTCCAGAATAATTTCTGCTTAGAAATTATACTGGATTTAGGTTAGCATGCTGGTGATAAAATGAGAGAAATCATTTGATTACATGTCTCTTTAACAATAGAGTGATAGCAGATTAAAAGCAATAAGGAATTTCTACAAATCAGCAACAAAAAGGAACAGGAAATCTAATAGAGAATTAGGCTTTACATAAATAGGTACTTCACCAACAATTAAAACAATGAAAGAATACTTTCTCTTATTTCACCAAATTGACAAAAACCAGAAAGTCAGAAAATAGTAGTGTCAATGATTCGGAGCTGGAAAACTTGAGTACTGACTTGTGGACAAGTGGAATTTGGTAGTGCTTAGTGAAACTGCATATTCCTCAATAATGTTCCTCAATAATTTGGAGAGGTCCTTGACTGCAGACTTTCCCAGTGCAATACATTCCTGATCTATTGACTGCTGTTACCAAGGGTATTGATTGTGTACCCAAGATGAAGTTGTTAATTGTTTCAGTCTTTTCTCCAACTGTCATGATGTTGCCCATAAGTTCACTAGTGAGAATTTTTATTTTTTTTATGTTGAGATGCAATCCATATTGAGGATTTATTCTTTGATTTCCTGCAGCAAGCACTTCAAGTCTTTCTCACTTCCAGCAACCAAGGTTTTTCTTGCTTGTGGTATCTGTATAATGTAGGTTAATAATTAATCTTCCTCCAATCCTGATGCCACATTGTTCTTCATCAAAGTATAGTCAGCTACCTCTCCAAATTATTGGGAAGCACTTATGTCAGCTGAGTAGTTAGGTGCACTTGATCCAGGCCATGGTCTTTTCAATCACTTGTTATGCATCTGGGAGCTGTACAGAGTGAATAAGGATGACAGAAGAATTGATGCCTATGAGCTGTGGTGGCGGAGAGTACTGAGCATGGCCTGCCAAAAGGACATACAGGTATATTCTGGAGAAGTGCAGCCAGAGTGCTCCTTAGAGGCAAAGATGACAAAGCTTCATCTCACCTAGTTTAGGCATGTTGCTTATTGTTGTTAAATGCTGCCTAATCAAGTGTAACTCAAACTGACCCTATGAATGACAGATCTGAACTCTGGAGAGGTCACTCCTTGGAGAGAGACATCTTGCTTGGAAAGGTGGAGGTCGACAAAAAAGTGGAAGACCCTCAACCAGACAGATGGACACAGTGACTACAAAAGTCAAGTATGTCAGTGATTATGAGAATGGCACAGGATAGAACAGGGTTCTGATCTGTTGTTGATAGAATTAACATGGGTTGTAATCAACTTGATGGGACCTAATAATGACAAATAATGCTCCAGCAAGGATGGGCAATCTCCTCCCATGCGATTAATTGCCTCTGGAAACCCATAGGAAGGTCAGCTATGGGTTGGTTCCAACTTTATGGTACACAGCAACACCATTAGAATGTGGAATGTGAAAGGCTGGACTTTATGAGGAGGAATGTGGCAACAGAATAGGAGGAAGACTCAACAACCTGCTTTAAGCAACTTGCTTGCTAAAATTGAAGAGAACCTAAAGCATTTACTGTAGAAGGTCAAGGACTGTAGTCTGCAATATGGATTGAAGCTCAACATCAAGAAGACAAAGATTCTCACCTCTGGGCCAGCTTACAACACCACAATAGAAGAAGAGACTGAGGTTATTAACAATCAGCTTGCTTGGCTCCACAATATCTTGAAACCAGCAGTTAAGAAATAAAAAAACAAATTGCATTGGGTAAGTGTATGATCAGAGACCTCTCCAAAGTGCTAAAGAGCAATGACGTCATTCTAGAGATTACGATGCAACTGATCCAGGCCATGGACTTTGTAATTACTTGCTATGCATCAGAGAGCTAGACAATGATTAAGGATGACAGAAGAAGAATTGGTGCCTTTGAGTTGTGGAGCTGGAGAAGAGTCTTGAACATACCATGGACTGCCAGAAAACCAAACAGGTCTGTCCTGGAGAGAGTGAAACAAAGTTTCTCCTTGGATGCAAGGATTCTGAAGCTCCATCTCACATACTTTGAGAATGTGGCCAGGAAGGACCAGTCCTTAGAGAAGGACATCATGCTTGGAAGGGTGGAGGGACAGTGTAGGAGAGAAAGACTCAAGATAAGGTGGATTAATACAGTAACTGGAGTAATGGGGGTAGGTGTGCAGGAGACAATAAAACAGGTTTAGGATAGGGTAGGATTGAGAGCTATTGGACATAGTATTACTATGATTCATCTGTGACTCGATGGCACATAATAACAGTGATATTTATTAGAAAACTTCACACATATGAAGAATATATGAGTAAAATATGGTGATAGAATATTTGCAACAATTTGAATCAATAAACTAGATGAACATACAGAATAATGAGCATCCTTTAAAAATTGTTTTCATATAAGTATTGAGTTATGTGTAATAACAGAGCCAGAACTATAGCATAATACTATCTCTGTAGATTATAAACCTATCTGTAACTATGTGGAAAATGTGACTAATGTCAATTTGTGAAGAAACTGTCAAAGGGGAACCTCACTTGCTATGTAAAACTTTCACCAAAAACACAATTAAAAAAAGAAAGAAAAGAAGCCTATATACAGATTTTTTAAAAAATAGATAAATTTTACAAGAATATCAAAGCTGTATCCCGAGCACACTGTTGATGGGTGTCTGTGAAGGAGACAGAAATGGAAGGAGTGATCCACCAGGAAGTGGAACACAGGAACACAACATGCAGGAGAGAAACTCTGAATTGACTCATGATGACTGTTTCATAACTAACTCAATGCTGTGCTCCTAAAGTCTAAGACAGCAAGCAAATAAAAGTAATTTATATGGTAAAGATCTAAAACAAAACCCAAAGTTATATGATGGAGAGTCTACTGCCCCAAACTTAAGCCCCAGGCAAGTTTCACCAGTGTGTTTCCTGGCTCTGACCACGAGTGAATTGAAGCATACATTCCGCATCACTGGAATCATGCTGACATACTCACAGCGTCTATAAAACGAAGAGACTTAAACGTTGCTCCAGATGGACAGCCCATTGCAGAGAGACATGGATAGTGTCCTTCTTCCAACACATACTGATTACCAGAGAAGTTTTCTCCATCATATGCAACCCAGCTACAGTAGGGGAAACCACACACATATGAGTCCTTGTTCTCAAAAAGAATGTTTAGATACATAACTTGGGAGAGACTGAGTGAACTAACTCATTCTCATAAGGACAAATACTGCGTAAGATCATTACTGTAAAAATAGAAGGATAACTAGTAAAACATGTATGGGGACCGAAGATGGGGTGGAAGCAGAGAGGTGAGGATGGGTAGGGGTGAAATCACAGGACTGCACAATTTGGTGAGTGAAGGGTAGAGGGTAAAGAAAATGAGAAAGATCCAGGGGGTACTTGAAGAATCAGGGTAATGGTGGGCATAGTCTAATGATGATTACTTTTATAAAACATAATGCATGGAAATGATTGAATGAAATGCAGCATGAATGAAGTATAGTGTTAAACACAATGTATACATCTTTGTAAGCAAACCAATATAAAATAAAAAAAATTTTAAGAAAAAAGACTGTTTCAAGAGAACTGGTTAGAAAACATTGTGCTGTGGCTCACGGTGTCTGTTTACGCAAAAATATCTGCATATAAACACATTTCATTTTGTGAAAAATCAATATTCATAATTGATCAGTTTGTTAACTTTGCAGTTGAGAAATAAGACTTTTTTGCCAAAAATGATCCATGTTTTAACTTCTCCACATTCCCATCTTCCTTGCTCCCCTAAACGGGACCACCATTCTCTCAGTCTATGTAACTTCAAACCTCATGCTCTCTCTGAGCATCTGTTACCAAGGTCTAGCAATTCCCTCTCAAAATTTCCCTCACATTTCCTTTGCTGTAATTCTCGTGCCCCTGCACTGGGCCTCAAGTCAAAATGCTGGAGTGACTGAGATTAATCAGCCACTCTGCGCCTCTGCAGTTCTGATATCATGATGATAATTTACTATGTACTTCCTCAGATGAGCTTTTGTTTCAATCCAGTCTTTATTGAAGACTACTTGTATATGAGACGAAGTGTGAGGCTGGTGTAAAACAGGATTTCAATCTGTTGTTAATAGGGTGACAGAGTCAAAGTCAACTCACTGGCACCTCACAACAATGTCAAGGAGTCCCTGGGTGGTACAGATGGCTTCCACTCAACTGCTGATCTAAAGGGTAGTGGTTCAGACCCACCCAGAAGTATCCCAGCAGGTGAGCCTGGCAATCACTGCCAAGGAAAGTCTACAGAGCTCAGGCCTACGTGAGGTCACCATGAGTCAGAGTCCTTTGGCAACTAACAATTATGTGTCAGGTACATTTCCATTGCTGAAGCAGAGCAGAGAACAAAGTCCTTGTTCTCTTACAGTTTACACTCACAGGAGAAAAGGCAGGCAACCAACACCTAGAAAATGTACAGTCTGGTAGTGAGAAGTGAAGCAATAAGGAATAAAGAGGAACTGGAGAAATCGGAAGTATGAACTAATAAAGGGTGATAGTTTATAAATGTAAGTATTTAGCAAAGCTAAATGATATGTTACATGATCGTAAAGGACAATACGACTAAGGCATAATTATTATTGTGGGACTCAATTCCTATCATCTCTGTATAGATTTCTCTGATGTTTTTCAAGTTTTCCTGACCCTTAATAAAGCTTACTTAAAACTACTCTTTTCAGCACAGAATTCTGTATTTCCTATGTTGTTGTTGTTAGGTGCTGTCTAGTCAAGTACAACTTATAGCGACCCTATAAACAAAAGATCCAAACCGCATCCTATCCTGTGCCATCCTCATACTTCCTGACACCAAAGAGTCCACTGCGGCAGTCACCGCATCAATCTACCTGGCCGAGTGTTTCCTAAAGCGGCTTATTAAACTCACTTGCTCAGGAGTATTCATATCCTGATCTTGCCATCTCTGTCCAAACTTGCTTCCCCTCCACCCAGTACCAAAAGCCCCAGCTACCAAAGCTACAGTGCTTCCTGATCACCAAACATCCCAGGTCTACTCCAGCCCTCTTCTTTATTCACATCCCTAACCCCCAGAAGGCTAGTCCTACTCTGATCTACCTTTGCAGGTGACACAGAGTTCATCTAGCATTCAACCCTCTTTTTTATGGATTAAGAAATGTACTCAGAAAATAAAATGATCAAAGGAGAGGAGCTGGTGAACAGCAAAACTAAAACTGATGTGAATTCATCACACAAGATTTGAGCGTCAACTTTTCCAGCCCTCAATGATCTCCATATTTTTGACATCTAGCACTCAAATGCTGCACAATGTATCTATGAAAATACTTACATTTACTAATACGCATATACTATTGGGTTGGCTATTTAATGGTGTTAAGCTCCCAAAAGTTGTTTCTAAAGAACTTCTGGTATGTATATTCTTCTTTTTTCCTGGTAAGGGAACTCTGGTGGTATAGTTTATAGGGAGTTGCACTAATCAGTGCCTCTCTAGTAGTTCGAATCCACCAGCAGCTTCATGGGAGAAAGATGGGCGGTTTTCTCCCATGTGATTTACAGCCTCTGAAATCCTGCTGGAGGGCCAACCATGAGTCAGTCCTCAACCAAGGCTATGGGCTTGAGTTCTGAAGCAAGTTCTGTCAGTTACTTACCTGCCTCCTAAAACTCTACAAGACTTTGTAGAAAATGAATCATCAATTTGACCTGTTGTTTCTTTAAAAGTTTGGCTGCAACCTTGAAATTGTGGTTCCGAAAACAAGTGAACCTTTGAAAAAGTAAATGGAAACCCTTATTATTATTTTCCTCCATACATTTATTCACTCACACTCTAATATGATGGCCCAAACATGACCTGTTTATTATACTAAATTGCTGTGAATTTTAAAATCTTTTCATTTTCTATTATTAATTTTTTTAATTTTATTTGTGATTTTAATTAAAGTTTACAGAAAAGTTGGATTCTCATTCATTAATTATTGCATATTTTCCTCCATTCCTCTTCCCCAGTTTACATTTTCTTTTTTGTAATATGCATTCATTGTTGCAGTTTTCTCCCTCCTCCTTCCTTTCCTCTTCCCCATCTCCTCCCCCAGTTCACTTTAAAATATATACCTCTTATTCTGGACTGTTGTCATTGCACCTTAGTCTTTAAACTGACATCCTTGTCCATTAGCATTTTTGGAGAGGTCTTTGACAGTAGATTTACCTAATGCAACTCTCTTTTAATTTCTTGATTGCTAGTACCAAAAGTATTGATCGTGGATCCAAGCAAGATGAAATTGTTATACACGTTAATCGTCTCTCCAGCCATCAGAATATTTCCTATTGGCCCAGTGATGAGGATTTTTGCTTTCTTTCTCCCCCCCCTTATATTTATTCTTTTACTTATTTCTTCATCCAAGCAATATTTTTTTCCTTTTTTAATGCTTTGCTTACAATGTTCATATGCATTGTATTTCACACTATTCTTCATTCATATTGTATTTTATGCAATCATTCTTGTGCATTATTTTTTCTATTAAACCACTCACCATTGGGTTTTGCCCATCATTTACCCTGTCTTTTCGCCCATATCCTTTCCATTTCCTTCTGCTCCTCCCTTCAGCCACCAAACTGTGAAACCCTCTGGTTTTGCCTCTACTCAGCCTCACCTCTTCATTCCCACTCCATCCTCCCTTGAATTCCCATACATGTTTTATTAGTTATTCTTCTATTTTTATACTGGCCTTATGCAGTATTTGTTCTTATAAGGCTGAGTTAGTTCTCTCAACATAATGCTCTCCAGTCTCTCCCAAGTTATGTAGAATTTTTTTTAAAATTATTGCTCCTGAATATTGCCTGAAAATAGCCCAAATATTCAACCACAACTGAATGAATTGAGAAATCATGGAACATTCATGCAACGGAATATTATACAGCACTCGGGATTTTTGTTCTCTTGGTGTTCAGATGTAATGCATATTGAAGGCTGTAGTCTTTGATCCTTGGAGTGAAGGATTCTGAAGCGTCATCTGACATACTTTGGGCATGTTGCATGTCCTTGGAGAGGGATATCATGTTTGGGAAAGTGGAGAGACGGTGCAAGAAAGGAAGGCCCTCAATGAGATGGACCCTCAATTCTGTGATTGGAGTGGTGGGAATGAGTGTGTTAGAACAACATATAGGGCTCTTGTACATAGGGTCGCTATGAGTTGCAAGCGACTCAATGGCACATAACAACAAGGCTTTGATCTGCAGCAAGCACTTCAAGTCCTTCTCACTTTCAGGAAGCTAGGTTCTGATTCTAATACCACACTGTTCTTTATCATAAAATCCAGCTTCTCTAGTGACTTGCTCCACATACAGATTAAATAAGTATGAAGAAAGGATACAGCCCTGCTGCACATCTTCCCTGATTTTAAACCGTGTAATATTCTCTTGCTGTGTTTATACAACAGTTTCTTGGTCTAAGTATAGGTTTTAAATGTGCACAGTTAAGTATTCTGGGATTCTCATTCTTCTCAATTTTAGCCATAATTTGTTATTATCCACATTGTCAAATTCCTTTGAATAGTCAGTAAAACACAGATAGACATCCCTCTGGTATTCTCCACTTTCAGTCAAGATCCATTAGACATCAGTAATGACATCATGGGTGTCACTGCCTCTTCTGAATCCAGCCTGAATTTCTGAAAGTAGTTCCCTGGCAGTATTCTACGGTTCCAGCCATTTTTGCATAATCTTCAGCAACATTTTACTTGCACATGATATGAATGAAATTTTTCAATAACTTTCACATTCTGTTGGATCACTATTTTGGGGAATGGAAATAAATATGGATCACTTCTAGCCAATTGGCCAGGCTCCAGGACTGAGGAACTCAGCCAAGCCTTGCTGCCTCTCCTTGCCTTCATTCAGTTCCTGGGCCTTGCACTAGGCCCAAGCACTGAGGAAGCCAGCCAAACTGAGGCACTTCTCTCCCTGGGCCCCTGGGTCCTGAGCCAAGTCCAGGCATCAAGAAGCCAGGCACTGATGCCTATACCATGATATCTCCATCCTAGTGGGAGCTGAGGTGAAAGCCACCAAGTATAACATTGCCCCATACCTCTCCCCCTGGCTTCCACACTGCCTGGGACTCAGCCTGAACCGGACCTGCAGAAGACCTCCTCATGCCATGAGATAGGTAGATAGATAGATAGATAGATAGATAGATAGATAGATAGATAGATAGACAGACAGACATATATACACACAAATACATACATATGTATCTCCTTGGAAAATGCACTCTAAGATTTGCTTTCCTTTCTGTCATTGTAACATACTACCTTGTTTCTTAGTTGTGAGAAAGAATAAATAAAGTTTTCACCTACCTCTAACTATTGTTTTATTATAGTTATGTGCCATTGAGCCATATGCAATGTATAGTGACCCTATGTACAATAGCCTTGAACCCTGCCCTATTCTGAGGCATTCTCATGGACTCTGACACACCTCTCCCCATTACCTCAGTTACTACATCAATCCATCTCATATGGGGGCTTCCTCTCCTGCACTGTCCCTCCACCCTTCTGAGCATGATGTCCTTCTCCAAGGACTTGTCCCGCTTAGCCATTTATGTTCCTAAAGTATGTGAGATGTTGTTGTTCTTGTTATGTGCTGTCGAGTCATTTGCAACTCATAGCGACCCTATGTAAAACAGCCCTAAACCCTGTTCTATCCTGTGCCAATTGCACTGCCTC